ATGGTGAGCATCTTGCTGGAAACCATGGCATGGATATTCAGATTTTTGACTGATTTTACTGATGAAGTGTATGGAAAATATATCACAAAGGATTCACCTTCTGATAGAACTTTTGGCAACTGTAAAGCTGTTACTTGGAGAAGCAGTGAGCTTGGGAGTTTCTCAGACCTTCTTAAATAAGAACTCAGAGCTGGCCTTCCACAGGATGGTGGTGAAAGAAGGGACCTTGAGGTGGGGGAGTCTCAAGAGGCAGATGCCCACAGGAAGGCATTTTCAAATCTCTGGAGTAAGATAAGAGCAGAGTATTTTTTCTAAAATTCAAGTTTTGAGTTAAAGTGCAAAGTAGAAATGAGAAGTGTGTTATTTCTTAGTAATAATAATAATGAAGTAAAATTAAAAAAAATAAAAATCCTTTCCAAAGTTCTAGAAATAGACAAGTAGCTTCCTCCATAGATTAAGCCAAGTCCATATAATCTACAGTTCCCTGTCCGGGCACAGCAGAAGAGGGTGAAAGGACAGTTTCCACCCAGGTTCGCTTTTGTGTCAATTTCTCTTACACTGTCTTAGAGATGGAACCCACTTCTTCCACTAATTTCTTTGGCTTTTGGAATTTAGTTTAACTTAAATTGTTCTTCAAATATCAGCTATTTTAAGTGAGGTTTTAATTTCTGTCTCACTCCATGTTGACACTGGTTGGATTTGCACTTTGACGTTATAACTCACCCACTTAACCCTGTGACTAGTTGGACTAGCATCACACCCTATCATTCTTCCACTTTCAGTAGGGAAAAAAAAAGGTTTCATTAAACAGCTAAAGCTTTGACATTAGAAACAAGTCCAGTCACCCTCCCTTGCAACTGTGCAAACCCCACCCATTGAAATGCTAAAAGCTGGTTCAGGGCAGGGCCAACGCTGTCCCTTGTCCAGGACCTTTCACTTAACTGCCTCCATAGACCATTAGTCATTTGGCTGAGGTCTTGCTTCACTGTAGGCAAATTCCTGCCATTTTTTCTCAGCACACCCATAAAACTTGAAATTGCTCCCTGTGCATAATCAGAAAAGATATGTATTAATAGGAGGCAAAGCAAGCTCTACCTGCCTGCCCTTCCACCTTGCCCTCATTAAGGAGCAGTGGTGGTTTAGATCAAGCCTAGATTAAGGAAAATCACAAACCCAGAATTGAAATAACAAATCCTTGAGTGTGTGTGTGTGTGTGTGTGTGTATGCACATACCAATTTTACTGATGACAAAACTGAATTTAGAGACTTAAGGTGATTTTCTAAGATCACTAGTAAGTGACAGAGAGAAGAGCTTTACCCAGAATTGGCTGGTTCCTAAGGCCCTGATGTTCCAAATTGAACCAACCAACTAGGGAGTCCACCTCCACCTTAAAAGCAATCTTCTCATCCTGATTTCAGCTTTTTCATTGTACATCCTTTGGGAATGTCACTTTTTTTTTTGGTACTAAGGATGGAACCTGGGCTTTGCAGACTATGTACATTCCTAGTTCTTTTCATCTTGTGATTTTATTTTTTTAATTTTATTTTGGTTTAGATCAGGCTTAGATGAAGGAAAATCACAACCCTAGCTTTGTAACAAATTCTTTGTTTATGAATGAGCTTTGCTTTTACTACCCAAAGAAAATTTTAAACCTCTTATAGACTCTGCTAATCTCTGCAGTGAATTACCAAGGAGATCTACTATTCCTTGTTTCCCCACTCTTCCCTCTAGTAGGACTCATGGATATGCATTCCTGCAAACACCTGAAGTGTTACACAGCCAAAACCCTTGGACTATGATATTGGGGTTCACACCTGCCTATTCTACAGGTTCAATTATTCATTCTGCCTACTAATCATCTTATCATAGTAGTTTGGATCTATTGAACATTTCTCAGACACCTGGGTGTCGCCTGTGTTCTTTCACTTAATCACAACTCTGAAAGGTAGGTGCTTTTGGTCTCTCTCTGCACAGTAAAGATCCTGAAGCTTAGATCCTTAAAATAGACTCTCCTGGTGAAACAGTATGTTTGAAGCCTTGAGCTGTCATCAATCATGCATTTTGCAGGACAGTCCTCTCCTTCCTGTTGGGCTTACTTTGGGCTGAAGCTTCAAGAAGGGAGCAAAGCAGAGAATTCCAGGTGAGGAACATTTGTGCAAAGCTGCAGGGTTTAGGATGATACTCCCCAAGTTCATTTCTTAATAAAATGTTTGCCCTATTTCACTTTGGTAGATAATCTGCAAGAGTCATGTTTATTTCTTGATGACTGATGAGAGAGTTGATTCTAGTCTACCTAATGATGCCTAAACCTTGAAGTTCAACAGGATGAAGGTTTATTTGCTCACATCACCTGTACAATGCAGGACATAAGACAGTAGATCCTGTCCTGAAAGGACCCAGTTTGCTTTACTCTCTCATACCCTGTGGTCCAAAATGCTAGGAACAATCAGGAGAAGAATCTGCATAGCAAATCCAACCCTCATCCTCTTGGCTTCAGTATACAAGTCTCACGTGCCATTAATGGACCCAGCACAATGGCAAGGAATTGTCACAGGTCTCTACCTAAAGATAAGAGAGCTGGAAAACATAGGGAACCACGCAGATATTCTGCAGCCAGTTAATCAACATTTACTGATTTGCTTTCTTTGGGAAAGGCATTCAATGATATTTCAAATTCTAGTACATTTATTTCTCATTTCAACCTCTAGGTGGTTCTTTGGAAACATCCTTAAATGCATCTGTGACAAAGATGGAATTCATTGCACATAATTGGAATGGAGAGAGGCACACAAAAGGCAAGGTCAACTTAATTCATTAAAAGTTGAAGTTATAGAACAATATAATCCTTGAAGAGCAAAACAAGCATGTTGCTATATGCAGCAGTGAGGATCATCGGAGAGTTAACAACAATCTATTGGTAGTGTATAAACAAGGTTTTTTTAGGGTCCAGAGCAAGCTCCAGGTCTATGCCCCTCTTCTGCACCCCTCATTTGCATGCATGCTTGATAGAGGGATGGCAAACTGCTGAAGACCACTTCCTAATTATCATGGATCTAAGTCGGAAGAAAATTAATGATAAAGCTTTTCTGTACACAGTATATTGCTTTAGTTTTGTACAATTCTGAACCATCCTAAAAAACTGTCATGAGATTGTCATGCCACACAGAGCTCACTTGTTATTTTTTAGTTAGGAGTCTTTAGTTGCAAGTAACAGAAACAAATCTTTAACTTAAGATAGGATTTTTTTTTTTTTAATGAAAGTACAGAAATGTCTTATGGTGCCAATGACTAAATGCAAATAAGCTCAAAGGCTGAAACAAAGTGTTTGTTATCATTCATACTCCTCCATGCTGTGACCTGCCTCTCACACGCACATGTGTTCTCTTCTTCTCTCTCAGATAAATACACACACACACACATATACACACACACGCACACACACATACACACAGACTTACTTTCATCTCTCACCTATCTCTCCATTTGTCCATCTTTCATTATCTATCATCAATCGATTCTCACCCCATACACACATCCATTATCCTGTCTTTCTGCTACATATAATAGGATCTGTCATTTCCAAAACGTTTGCCTGTTACATCTCTAACCTTTTAGTGAGACAGACTGAATTCTCATGGCTTCAATGTGGAATTCCAAGGAATTAGCATGTGCTGCCTTGGCTTGACTTGCAGGGAAGTGTCTGTCCCTGATCAAATGAGTCATGGCCGAGGCTATGAGCCTGCAGCTACACAGATGAAAGCTAGGAGCTCCATCCTCAAAGGAATAAGGAGGCTCTTCTCTGAGAAAAGGACTGAGTGAGGCCAGTGCTCCTGAAGGGGTTTATTATTGTTACAAAGACCACAGATGTTCTGGGGGGAGCAGAGTGGGTAGAATTCTCAGAGCTGCCACACAGAAACACAGAGTCTGAGTAAGCAGGCAACCTCAACAGGTTCTTTGCTGTGCTTCTCTGGATCTCTTTTGTGATCTCAAATGTTGCAACTCCAAAAATGGGGCTTGCAGAACCATCCAAATGTATTTGATGATTGACTTCTATATTTTGCAAATTCAATCATGATCCTAGGAAACAATAACCCTTGCCTTCCCATGGAGCCCTAAGTGCCTAGCTATTCACACAGGCTTCTTCCCTTCTGGAATAACAAGGCTTCCCATCACCATCTATTAAAATTCCATTCTTTCTTCAAGGCCAAAGCAGGAGGTCTTACATACCTATTGAAACTTAAACTTAGAAAATTTAATCAGCACAATGAAATTGAAGCACTCAAACACACTGAGCAATCAGACTCTACCTCTTTTCTATTTTAAGAAATAAAAGTGGACTTTGAAATCTTACAGCCATGATTCTAAATTATAACTTCTCATAATTGAAACCATTAAATTTAGGAGAGCTGATTAGCATATTCAGATGAGAGTCTCATCTGTAAATCATCAGAAGATCTCCTGCTCTCCTTCCTGGTGAAAATCCAGTGAAGCATCATTTGGGTAAATCCTCAGCATTCTTTCTGGATATGCTGGGAGTTTCCTAGGTGTTAGATCACTTGCAAGCTGCCTGGCTTCTTCCCCTCCTTCCCTGTTCCCTCTCTTCTGTAATTTCCATTTGTTAATCATTATTGTAAAGCTAACAATATAGTCATTTGAGCTGCACAGGCTTCTTTGAGTTGCTTCTAGATGGCAGGCTGACTATTAGAAACAGCATAGCAACCACCATTTGTCATTTGGAGAACTAAGCAAGATCTGCAACTCCAAGAAGGAAAAGCAAATGAAGTCCTTTATTTTAAAAATGTGATTATATAATAACCATGGGTAAGCACAACTAATTTTAATAGATACCAGAATTGGATATTTCACCCAAAGAGATACCACCCCACACCCCCAAAAAAGCCTTTGCTGGCAATACCAACACAGTCATTTTCTAGCTAGACCCCAACTGTCCTTGTACCAGATTTCCAATTCTTCTGGAACAGAAACCCATGGAATGGGAAGCTGTCCCACACCCAAAGCTGAACTTGGGTGACGTCCTTCTCCAGGATTCATTGCTCTTCAGCCACCTGCAGCTGTGCAGATGACCTTGCAGGAGATGACCTTGAAGCCTTTTGATTCTGATTCCTGGAAAACTCAGTAGACATCCTGGTCTGCTTCTTCTGCAAATGTGCTTTCATAAGCTGCTTATTCCACAGTTAGACCCAAGCTCCACATGCTACTGTCTCCCAGTAATTTGCGGTATGTTTCCCATCACGTAAACAGAAACAGAGGAGGGCCCCCGGCTGCTCTCTGCTCTGCTGCAGATGCCTCCCCACCCTCCTGGCTGTTGTCGTACAGTGAGTACAGGCATTTCTTTCTTTTTTTTTTAATTTCCTTCAAGGAACAGCTGTTTTTACTACTAGCTCTGACCTTCCTCCTATTTTGAGAATAGAAGCTGCATCATTTGTAACGTAGAGCTTCAGCCTCCGTTCCGTATCTGTCAAAACTTACCCTACCTTTTTTCTTGTTTTCAAGTAGCAACGCTTCTTTTGAACAATTAAAAACTTTAAAGCCGTAGTCGCCTCCACGCTGAATTTAAGAATAGGTAGAGAACTGTATTCACTTCAAAAGCTGTCACAGTTCCACAGAGGTGACACACAACAATCACTGCTACAGTAGGTAAGTAAAGATTTTTACAGAGAATTTGCAGATGAAGTGATTTCTAAATTGTTGTGTAGCTTGTATTAGTGCATCGGCAGGGTCAAGACGAAGGAAACTAACTCAATAAATCTTTCAAGTGTATTTAATGTTAATTGTGTTGTTCCTTGGTGGGGAGGAAGTGGAGGAGGATAAGAACTTGCAGGTAAGATAGTTTCTTGGCTTGGCTACTTGGAAACCTCCCAAGAATAATAATAAGAGAGAAAGAAAAAGGCTAGACTCTGAATCCAGTCTTCCTTTTAGGCGTGGTAAATGTTTTAAATACATCTCCTGCACGTGAGCTCTCATTTCCATCCCTCCCTCCCCAAGCTCTACATATCCTGGACTGATGCAGATTAGCGAGTTCATAAAAATGCATCACAGACCCATTTAAACTATATGATTAACTGCTAATATATGGTATTAACTTGTAGGATTTTTATGGAGATTAGCATGTATAATTATATTTGATGGTATATGATAATTACCTGTTTGTTTGCATTTTAAAGTATGATGACTTGAGAACATTCATCAATCCATATATGGCTTCGAGTCTGATATAAAATTGCAACTCATTTTAATTGTTTTTTTTTAAGTAATCAAACTGACATCTCTCATAATGTAAAGCCTAAAGGGGACTGACTAATTTTATGGAGATGATGCTAATAATACAGTGATTGGAGGACTAAGTAATTGAAAAGTACTCTTTAGAAAATGGGCTGTTCTGATCAATATTTTCCAAATGGGCTAATTAAGTGTGAATGTAATATTGCCATATTTCCAATAAAACATACAAAAATTCAACTTGGATTCTGGCTTTTCAGGATCCCAAATATAGACACTTCCATGGAAATGGTTTTAGAATTCAGGAGGGAAGTGCTTTTGCAGCAGAGTGCTTAGCAGTGACAGCAGAGAACTTCCACTTGCTCACTCAGCAGGAGAATCCTCACAACTTTCTTTACATTATCCACTCAGTACCCTGCTTTTTCTTTACTCCTGTGTCCTCTCAGACGCTAGTTTTACCTCTTTCCTGCAGAGTGACGGATTCAATCATAGACACAGGATTCCTGATACCATCTGACAACAGCTCTATTTCCATTCTACTCATGGGTCCTGTTTGTTGACATTTAAACTGACCTTGGGACTTGTTCCTTGTTCTTTGCTTACCCTGCCTCTCTGGGTGAGTCACCTTATGAAAAAGTCCTACATGATAATGCATAGGCAATATACAACTTAACCTAGAGTTCAGGTTCCCTTCAACTGAAGTGTTGACTCATATTGACCACATAAACTGGGTAAGATCAAATCCACTAAGGAATTGCACACTGAATCCAACCTTCAAGATATTTCAGCATTTAGATGACCTCCTCCTCATTGCTTATTCAAGCAAAGAAAATCAGCAAATAAATTCTGAAAACACCATGAGGAAGGAGTCATGCTATGGTCAAGGTCTCTGGAGGGAAGATGGAGCTCCTACCATAAAATCTATCTATGAACCAACTCAGAAAAAAAAAATGGCTACTCAGCTGCTGGGGCTGGTAAGGTGGGGAAAAATAGGGAAAGGTAGAAAAAGGCAACATAGAAACATTTATAGGACATAGACAGTGGGCAGAGGAACTCTCAGTGGAAAGACATTGTCCCTGTACCTGCAATTGCTTTTCTTCAATTTTGGTGACTTTATCTGTTTTATATTGGCTGAAAGAAAAGTTGGGGATTGGTGGCTCTTACAGAAAATGCTTCAGTTTTCTGTCACTCTAGTATTATTTTGAAGTTGAATAATAAAACAATGATGTCAGTGTGGATTTGTTTTTGAAAATTCACAGGTTAGACCACAACTAAATGAAGTATTTTCAGTTTGCACACACACTTTTGCTAAACTGAAGTGAAATAGACTTAATAGTATGAAGGGGACTTTTTTGGGGAAAAAATAAAATGTAATACTCAATTTTCTAATTATTAACACACTCTTTCTTGCAAAATTTTAGAATGTTAATAAAATCATTAAATTGAAGGCTAGCTTTAGCTGACTAAAGTGCCTAATTTGGAGGGTACATTGGCTTTGTGGATATAATGAAACTTCAAGTTGTGGGTTAATTTCCTAGTGAACCCTCCTGAGAGTTAAGAGACTTAATCTTTTCTACTCACTGAATGAATCCATAAGCCAAGGAAACGGGTGGAAATTTCTGAAAGGGAGGTATAATCAAAGATGAATGAGATATCCTCCACTTGGAACCCTTAAGGAAATATGTGATCTTGTCATGAAGTAAAATGAAAAAAAAATAAAAATAAAAAGATGATAACTCATGTCAAAGACAAGATCATTTAACATTTAGGTACGTGTTCAGTCAAACAATGTAGAATACACCAGTTACTTATTGAATCAACAGAATACAGGAAGCTGCAGAGAGTTGACACACTAAACAGATTATTATCTATGCCCTCAGACAGGTTGCAGTCTAGTGAGAAAACTGGAGAAGTAATTTAATTACATGAATCCGATATCATCAACTCCATCCAGACACGTGGATGTTAGAGCCTGGGTCCACTGAGACTCACAGTATTCAGGGAAGGCGTTGTGGGATAATAAGGATGGCTTGATTTGGCACCCAGGGAGTCAAGAAAAGGAAGCACACAAAGAAAAGGAGGTCAGCTTCCCGACATACATCCATATTTGATCAACTGAGTGAAATCACAATCAGAATGACAATACGAGGAAGCAAGCAACATGGGAAGAGGGAGACCTAGAGAGGAAGGAAGAGACAAAGGTGAGGTCAAGTGGCTCCACATCATGGTGGGTGTGGAATACTCACAAGAATTCAAATTGAGAGCAGTTAGGTACTGCCATGCCACTGAAACTCAGAGTTCAGATTAAAAAGCAAAGCTTTCTTTTACCTTTTTCATAGGTTAGTAGATTATATAAATGAAGACAGATTAGAATAGATATTTCAATAATATGTATGAGATATCTTCTAAAATTCATAAATTATAAGTTAGAAAGACACACTTGAAGTCAAACAGTGAGTGTGAGCAAGACCTAAAATGGAGAGGCAAGCACATTAGGACACCACCCTGAGACACTTGAACACTGTGATCCTGACCTCAGGCCTCCACTAGACTAGCAACAATACTCATTTCCCCACCCCAAGAAGAAGAGCCTGTTAAGACAAGCTTCACACTGAAATCAGAACTCTCAGAATAAAGACCAACTGTGGATTTTGTTCCCCCAAAACCAAAGGTGTCTAAGGGACTTTGGTTCTGAGCCAGGAAAAAAAAATATGTTTCCTGAGAACTTCAAGCTACAGAATGTTCCTCTTTAGGACCTGCAGACTGACTGAGTGTGCTTCTTGGTAGCTCCAGAAAGCACAAGGTTGGTCATTTGGTAGAAGCTGTGCTGGGCTAGGAGAGAACTCAGGCACTTGGCAGAAATGTCACTTCTCCAGGCACTCAAGGGATGCCTATATGTAAAGTTAGAAAGGTCTCTTAATCATACAAGGAAATAAGCTCTAGAAATACAAACAGGTGCAGGCAAGGAAAAAAAACAAGAAACCACAGAAACTGATCAGCAAAGATTTTTTTGATATGCAAATAGGTACAGAATGAAAATAGGCATATTTACTATGTTTAATTAATAGAGACACATAAGGTCTTAAAAATAGCCAAGCCGATTTTTTAAAGCCTAAATTGAACTTCTAGATATAAACCAATGCTAATTGAAATTAAAAATGCAACGAAGAGGTTTATCATCATATTTGAACTGAATTGAGGAGAGACTAGTAAACTAGAAGATGGATCAGAAGAAATTACCCACAATGTCATAAAAATAGAGAAACATAGGAGAACATCATGTACCTTACATTCGAGAAAAGATTGCTTTCAAAACAAAACAGTATCAAACAAAATCACTTGAAAAGGCAAAATGTTAATATATTTGTTCCTCAAAGTGAAGAGCACTGTGAAGAAACTTAGTGGGCACCAAGAAAAGAATATATTTCTATTGACCAAACCAATTAATATAAAGAGTCTAATGCTTGAAAGGTATTTCTTTAAATGAACACACACACACACACAAAATAGCAAGATAGGAAGATTATACCTAATTTTATAAATAAACAAATGAGTAAAAGGTGTAAAGAGGCTCTTTCTGGAAATGAAAACTGATAGAAAAGGAAGAGATATTCACAGCTTCAGTGTACAGGGCTATGCTAATTAAAATAATATGATGTCTATTCTTCCAACAGACTGGCTAAACTTAAAGACCTGAGCAATGTCACACGTCAGGGATGTGGGGGAGGTGGAAGTCCCATTCACTATTGATGGCATTGTAAATGGTGGCAGTTAGATCAGATAACCAGCTGGCACTCTCAGGTCACCCTAAGTATGTGCCAACTCTGCCTAAGTATGTGCAGTTCCCCTCCTGAATATTTATCCTATAGGGTACTGGACCAGAGTCCATAAGGAAAACATATACATGAATGTCATTTGCAACATAATCTATATGTAAGGAGTTGAAGGTGCTCACCCATTTCTAAGAGAGTAGGTAGGTGAGATGAGGGGCAACACCTTGTAGAGTATTATTCCAACCAAAACCAAAAGATCATCTGTACACAGAACTGTATAGACAAGTCTTAAAAAACATAGTACCTAGTGAAGAAAAATAATAAAAAACAGAACAGAGGTATAATATATAATACCATTCACTTAAATAAAAAATGCATTTGCATAAAGATATATATTACGTGAAAGCAAATACTAGCAACATTGCGTGCATTAAATACATTAGAATATCTTCTCCAGAAGAAAAAGAAAAAAATCAAAGGAGAAGTTTTAAAAAATGGAAGCAATGAAGAGAAAAGATAAAAGAAAGAAAAAATGAATAAAGAAAGATGTTAAAAGATATAGAGAGATAAATTAATAACTGAGGAAAAGTAGAGAGCTGAGAAATAATTGCACTTATATATAAATATAAATATGTAAGTGGAGAACTGAGGAAAATATGAAATATGAGGAAAATATGAAATATGAGGAAAATATGAAATTACAATAGAGCTTGTTTTGTAGGTTGATAAAAAAAGGACTAGGTTTTCAGTAACTGAAATTAGAATACTATATCATACTCCCAAAGACAAATATTAAAGATGAATTTAAAATTTTTATAAAATAATATACAAATAGCTTTATGCTTTCAGAATAGGAAAGGATTTCTTTAATAGCACATAAAAATCATGAATCAGAAAGAGGACAAATGAAACTAAAATCCATTATGCTAAAATAATTTAGGTCACAATACATTTTAAAACAAGGTTGATTAAGATGTCATAAAGACATTGGAACTATAAGTACAAAGAAAGAGATGGTTATTTTCAATTCACAAAATATCATCTGTGTTACCCCTGGAGTACCTACAAGTGAGCAAGAGAAATTCAAGTAATCCAGTAAAATATTGGTCAAAAGCAATAAAGAGGAATTTCATAGAAGAGGAAATGCAAATCACCAAATAATTTATGAAAAAATTCTTACCATCAGTAGCAACTAGAGAAAGGAAAATTAAAATAGAATTGAGATTCAAGTTCTAACCCAATGGATTTATCAACATAAAAAAAATTGAATATATGTAGTACTGGTGAAGATACGTAGTAATTGAAACATTTTTCTGAAACCAGTAAAAATGTAAATTTTCAAGAATCAGTACTATTTAGCAATAATAAAATTGTGCATTTTCTGTGATCTAACAGATCTAACTTTTTACCTCATTGGTCAGGAAATATATGTTTAGACATATGCATATCCATAAGCAACATTCATAATAACAATAGAGGTGGAGATAACCCACATACCCATCACCACAGATATTTTAGCACTATCTTTAATAGGGTATTGGTCAGCAGTCCAAAGAAGTAAAGTGAAAAGACATACAATAATAAGGAGGACTCTCACTGAGAATTCTATTTTCTAAAATTTCAAAATATTCAGAACTAAATAATATACTAAAAATATGTGTTCAAATTTGGATAAAATCAAGGGAATTGTGATTTGCATGCAATGACTGCACTGAGGCAGGGCAGGTTAGAGGAGAGGTTTGCAGATTTGCCAACAGTAATGTATGTGTACATGTGCAAGTATGCAGGAATGTTCTTAGATTAAAGTACTTAGGTATTTCTTGTACCACTCTTATTACTTCTCAACATATATATCTTGGAAGTTACCCATTACATTAAAAAACAATATTTTTTTCTAAAAGATTTGTGAGCAAGGAAATGTCCTGGGAAATTTGTTGTTGAAGAAATAGCATGGAATCTGAGATTAACCAGAAAAGGGTCATTCATGAAGGTCATATGTATGATTCCATTATATCAAATACTAGAACAGATAAATCCACATAGATGAAAAGCAGGTTGGTAGTTACCAGGGACTGATGGGAAAGGGAAACAGGAAATGACTGCTTAATTTATGCAAATGTTTTAGAAGTTGATAGAATGTGATACACTGTGGATTGACTAAATACAATCACTAGTATACTTTGAAATGCTTAATTTTATGATATGTGAATCTCACCTCAAATTTAAAAAAAATTAAAAAAATAATATAGGCCAGGTTTAATTTAATTTTGTTTACTTAATAACTTACTTACTTCGCTCTGAATACTTTTTCTTATTTACTCAACAAGTTGCAAGAATAAACTCTTGCTGCAAGAATATCATTGGGTATGCACAGTCCTCATATGTGGTAGAGGGTTACTAAATGGTAGCTGACCTTATTTCATTGTCAACATGGGTAAAGCTGCATGTATAGGCATAGTTTGTCATTTGGAATATCTAAGTTGTTAAATCTTTGAACAATTAATATGCAAATTTTCTAAGTTCTCACAAACTACAACATCAGTTACAAACAAACAATCTGACTGCCCACTACAAGTATGAATGCCACTCTTTTCCCAGAAAAATAAAATGAGTTTAATTGCAAAAGTATCTAGATCAAATGATGTGATTTACATATTTTTTTCAAGAATTAAGTAAAAGGAACTATTTTTTCCTAATCATAGGAAAAAATACCCCGAAGAAAAGAAAAAAATATAGCCAATAACTGAGAATTTAGTGTAAAAGAATTTCTATACAGTTATAATTCAAAATTTATAATTGTATGGATCAAGGAATAAGCTCTTGGCATACTATTGATCTATGATGCATAGAAGTTGAGGAGGTGACAATTGATGTCATAATAAAGAATTCAGCTGTATTTTCATTATTCATAAGCTAAAGCTCTTCTCAAGTTTATGAAATCTGTGAAATATAAAAGGTAAAGTAAAAAGCATCATTTTCTTATAGTTCTTTGCTCAGCAACTGCTCAAAAACTTCAAAATAAAGACATTACTTCTAGGAAAGCTTTTCAAAAAATCTAAAGTTAAAGAATATACTTAATAAGCCATTTATTTTATTTTGGTCTTTTCACACATAATGGTATAGTCTGACTTAACCAAATTCTGACTTAACCAAATTCTGAAAAAATCTTGCTTGTAGGGTTTGATTGCAGATGATTTTAACAGAAAAAGCAAATAGGTAAAAATGATGATACTTCACTTTATATGTGATACATGTTTGACTCCTAAAAAATATTTCCATTTTTCTTTAGAAACATAAAATCACGTGGTTTATGGTTTGACATATGAAGAACCTGGAAGTCATTACAATCATCCTCAGAACAACAACAACAACAAAATTTTAATAATCTGAAAATCAACCTCAGAAAGTGAGGAGAAGGGTGATCTGTAGGAATCAATCCTTAGTGTAGACAGAAGCCCAGGAAAGGCTGCCCACCCACTGAAGTCAGCACTGCTAAGACATGTGGTTTAGCATTTGTCATTAATTTTGGGAGATTCTCAGTCACCATTACTTCAAATGAGCAAGTAAGATTCATATTGGGTATGCAAGTCTGGTTCAACAGCCAACTGTGAGCCATGTATTCCAGCACATCAGCAGCGGAGGGAAGAACAGAAATTCTATGCAGAAATACCACACTCTTTCGTGATTTAAAAACAAAACAACCTCAGTCAAGGAGGAATAGATTGGGAGCTCCTCAGCCTTACATAAAACACCTCCAGGTAAGGTGTAATTAAGGTTAAGTGAGGTCCTAAGTGTGGGCCCTCATAGAATCTGAACAACATCTTTATAAGAAGAGGAGGAAAGACCAAGGATGTACACAAAGAAAAGTCCAGATGAGGACACAAAGAAGACAGCTCTTTATAAGCCAAGGGAGAGGACTTAGGAGAAACTATGGCAGCCCACACCTTGATCCTGGACTTGCATCCTCCTGAACTGCAGAAGGTGAATCTCCATTAGGTCCCCAGTCTGTGGTACTTTTTTTATAACAGCCCCAGTGAACTGGTGCAGTGCCAGAACTTACATGAAAGAGTTGTTCAGCTCTTATCTTTTCCTCAATATTATACAATTCCAATGAGATTGGTGCCATATTATAGCATCCACAGGAGTGCCTGAGACCTCACAAATCTGAGAGGAGTGGTGGGTCCACAATTTGATCCAGGGCATTTGGGTTTGAGTTAGTTTTGATTACATACAAAAAAAAACTTTCTTGTAAATATTTTTCTACTCAGATAACATGAAACCACTGTACAGCATGAATGTAATGTGGAATACTTATGGTATACAAAATAAAAGCTGTTCGCTAGTAATTTGCTTTCATCTTCTGCAAGTGCAAGTGCGTAACGTATAGCAAGGTATCTGATAAGTTGTAGTAAAACTTGGTCATGATGGACATCATCATAGAGTTGGGAATGGCTATATTTCACCTTAATTGTCCTTATTGGTTAGTATTTCTACATGGGTGTCTATTCCAAATAAATTATTTTGCTTTAAAAATGTTTACATCAACATGAAAATGAATTGCATTGATATTTTGTAGAAGAATGATATGCAAAATAAAAATAAAGCAAAACATCAGAGCTTTGGGCTAGCATCTGTTTCCTGTTCCTTATTTCACACTTGGATGCTGAACTTGCAGTTTTTGCTCTCCCTGGGCCTCCCCGGTGCCCCTTTTCATCTTCTGACCTGCTGTTCATAGTGCAGCTTCTCATCCTTGGAACATAATCTTTTTCCTGGCAATGGTGAACTCATATAAGGTTTATCACCACTATTTCACTTCAGTCCTACCCACATCAAAGTATGCACATGATCCATAGGAAGGCTTTAGAAACAAATCATCTCTCTACCTTTTATCTTCCTGGCTCCTCATAAGCTCATGGCTTTCCCAGCAGATAATTTTAAACCCATATTTCAGAGTTTTTCCATAGGATTTGTCCTCTGATATATTTCATTAAAAGATGAGTGTTCTTTTTCCCAGATAATACACCCCTCTTTTTTACTCTTTCTTTTTCTATCAGCATCGAGCCTGCCCCCACCCCAGCAACCCCAACATCATCCCAGATTGCCTGTTCTCAGTCAGTCCTTCCTGCTGGCTTTGGTCAGGAGGATAGAAACTAATCGCAAGCAAATGAAGTCTGAGCTGACCAGTGTGGCCATAAAATGTGCTATTGCCATTAAATGAAATTTACAGACAATGAAAACATTTATATAGTAGAACTGAAACAAGCCTCATTAGAAAATAAGCTTATTAGAACGTTCTTTTTGCTACAGAGATATTTTCCTGAATTGGTTCTTGTCCCACACACTGCAGTGGTTGGGTAAGGGGGTGGGGTTTAATCTCTTCCTAGGTGAGGCTGATACCCACCCAGAGTTTTCCTATATAACAAATGTTTCTGAGAGACAAAAGACAGCAGGTGTACCACTAGTGCTGACAAGAAGACATTTCTTCACATTGACAAGTAGCCACAAGGAACAGGACTGATAGTAAAAATTTGGAGGAAAGAAGTTGAGGTGTCAGGAAGCCAGAGAGCTCCTCCCAGGAGGAAATGCACTGGCAAGTGCATCTCTAGCCATGCTGCATGAGCCCACCCCATGCCACTCACCTGCACAAGGAAATGACAATGAGCTCAATGTGAGCCCCACTTGCTCCTGACCCTAAGGGACATTAAATGCATCAGTCTTCACTGAACCTAGTTTACTGAATCCTATCTCAGTACTGTGGCAACTATAATTCTCTATGCTAAAGCCAGTTTCCATAGGAAGTATGGATGGAGCTTCCTCTGTCTTTAATGTAACAAGGATCTTTCACCTGCTGTTTCAGGGACTAGTCAACATGAAACAACATAGACTTTTGTCAAGATAAATTAATTTTTATTAAATTATGACTATTAAAACACTTATTTAGTGTTGCTCAAAGTTAATCATTCTAAAGGGACTGTCTCAATACAGTGTTCTTCCTATAATTACCTGAAACCTGGAAAGCATGGGGTAAAGAGACATAGACAAAATAAAGATAAAGGAAAGCAAAGTGAAGCAAAGGAAGGTATAAGAAAAAGTTCTAGTTTTCCTAGTTTTCCTTGCTTGCTCCCTTTAATGGTCCCCTCATCTATGTGGTTCTCAACTTACTGAGCTCTTAGATAAAGGCCTAAGGAAGCTGTTTACAATATAGAAATAACATACTCAGAGAATGATGTTTGAGAGTCTTGATTTTCACTTTTTAGAACCCTGCTAAAGCTTAAAAAAGTAAAACAATTAGATCAACAAATCATGAGAACAACAGGGCTACTATATGCAGCAATTGTATATTACGCTCCCTCTTATCTAGAAATGGAAAAGTATGTCTCATTTATACAAGTAAGTGACGCATTTGCAATCTTAAAATAATAAATATAAAACTTAAAAAAAGTAGAAACATAGGCACTTAAATATGTTTAGTTTAAATATAAAGTTTAAATTAAATTAAAGCTATGTGAGAAAATCACATAGCATGCTCAAGTTTTTTTATCTAATGATGACAATACTTTATCCTAAAATTGTAGATTTATTGTTTTTTTTTTTTGCATTCACGTTTTCAACAATGAGCATACATATTTCATAGGAGGAGAAAGTTAAACTGATGAAAAAGAAACAATAAGGATTACAACTTCAAACAGACTATCCTGAGTCAGCTCTAACAGCACAATTAATCCTCTTGCTTGAAGTTTACAGATGACAGCTCAGGGCATCCAGAGGGGAAATCTCAGGGGTCAGGGCTCATCTGGTACAAAAGGAATTTCCCTGTTGGACTCTAGAGCTCAGAAACCCATGTACAAGCTGGGACTAAATCAACTAACTTTGTGTTCTCAGCATTTATAAAGAAAACCAGTTCTGATTAATTACCTACCAGGAGCCCCACATGGCCCTCCACATACTATTTCAGCAACTGGGAGTCCTTGAGGGTTCTTCTCATCTCATGCAAGCTCTCTGCCTTACGATCATATTGAAACATCTTAGAAAATGAAGGGATGCTCAGTCGAAGCACTTGTTGTATTCTCAAGGTCATCAGGAATTGTCTTTTGGGCTAGGGAGGCTGTTTCACTGCAAGCAGGTAAATGGTTTGTATTGAATTATCTGTCCACAAGAACATCCTAATGAAGTAAATACTAAATGGGATAATGATTAAAGCTAGTTGCAAATTGGTTCAGAGGAGGAATTGAGTCTAGAATACATTTTTTTGTTTTGTCTGATTAGTTTCATCTAATAATATTTGTGGAATATGATTAAAATATAAAACAGATTTTGTTACAGTACTGAAGGTTAGCCCACCTCAGTATTTTAATATCTTAGAATTACAAAAATAAAATGAAAAATCATTTCCATTGAGGACAAACGAGAGCAGTAGTATTGCATAGCATCCATAATGCATTTGCTGGAGGCAGGGCAGACACTGAGGGGAGTATTCTGAGACAATGGCAGCCTACACATCTCTTCAGCCTGAGAGAAGAATAGCAGTCACAGGAAAGATACTGCCTTTTTAGTTAAATGGAGCCATCAGTGATCATTTGAGAAAGTCCCAAGTGTAGCTTGCACACACACTCAAATCTATAATTTTACAACTAAAATATTTCACATGTGAGTTTAAAAAGAAGGTGGTTAACATTAAGTACTAAATTAAAAATCTAGAAAACTAAGTCTAAGAAACACCCCAAAGTTCAGAGCAAAATTATAGAATTGGAATTGTTGGGTGAAATATAATAGACTAGAAAAGTAAGCCCAAGACATAAATAAGAGAATAAAGGGATTCTAGAAGGAAGAGAAGAACTAAATGTACTTCTGAGAAATTTTCCATATAACCTTCACGTAAAGAAACAACAGTTTTGAAAAATAAAGAAGCAGATATAGAAATAATATGAGACATTAAAACTTTCTAAGTATACAGATTGTAGAAAGTCCTTTATAAAATGCTAGAATAATATTTCAAGAAAATATACAATACATTTTGATACATGGATAAGTAATCTTTTGGAAATGACATCAACCTTATTCTCCAACTGAATAGACTCTTGAAAATCAAATAGTAGATAGACCTTAATAAAGAATTCAGTATGGACGAACATTATTCTACAAACAAAATGAAAGCTAGAAAGGCAACCTGAAAGAATGCTAACTTAAAATTAAAAGCACAAAATAATAATGAAGAAGAACATTCCCTTGTTTATATTTTTATAAACTTATGCTTATATGTACCACACTATCTAAGCATAAGTTTATAAAAAACAAAATCATAACTATTAGTATTATGATCTTGGTGGGGTATTTTAAATTGATGCTTGAGAACTGAAACAATTTAAAGACAAAAAAATGTATTCCATGAAAATAACTGAAATTAAAAAATGAATAGTAGAATAAATAATTATCAGTGCTAGTCACAGAATTTTATGTTCCTTGAACAGGAAATAATTTTATCCATGTGTTCATGGAACATTTAGAAAAATCAATAATTTCTTGGCCAACAAAAATGAATAAATCTAGACCTTGCCTGCACAGAAGCATGAAGACTGTAGTTAATTTTGTGCACTGATTCTTTGCTAAGAGTAGGCTTAACTATTCTTACCACATACATACACACAAAGGGCAACTAGTCCAGGTGATAAGGAGAATGATTTGCTTTACTATAGTAATCAATTCACAAGAAATCTCTATCAAAGTACCATATTATATACCTGAGGTATGTACAATAAAAAAGAATACCTAAACACATTTTGAATAAAAAATTTATTGAGTTTATTCTGCGAACTGGAACTAATTAAATCAGAAATAATTATAAGAGGGCCAAAAGCAGAATTCCTTGGGAATTTAAAAGCATATTCCTGAATAAGTAACTCTAAATTCAACAAGAAAATTACAAGGAAACTTAGAATTATATAAAATGTCATAAATAAGAATATTCTTCATAGCTGAAACTATTGAACAATGTGGAAGCAGATTCCATGAAAAAGAAAAAAGGGTATGAAATATCATCTTTATTTACAAAGAAAATACAATAAAGATAGCTTGTATTCTTTTTAAGAATATAAAATAATCCCCCAAAAGCAAATAGGGAAAATGAATTGATAATAAAAATTAATAAGAAATGAAAGGTAACAAAAATTCAAACAATGTTATATCAAATCAGTTTCCAATGCTTGTTTTAAAACACAAATACCATAAAACTTTCCATCTTAACTATTTTAAGGTGTACAGTTCAGTGACACTAATTATTCACGTTGTTGAACAATCCTCACCATAATGTTTCCATATTCCATGCATCTTGTAAAACTGAAAACCTATATCCTGCTAAACAACTCCTCATTCCTTTCATCTCCAGACTCCAGCAACCCCATTCTACCTTCTATCTCTATGATTTTCACTGCCAGATGTACTTTATATAATTAGAATCACACAGTCTTTTATGAGGGCTTATTTCACATAGCATAATGTTAAACCATGTTATAGCATATATCAGAATTCCCTTCTTCTTAACATTAAGTAATATTCAATTCAGTGTGTATGCCATGGTTTGCTTATTCTTTTATTGTTAAATGGAAATTTGGGTTGCTTC